ACTGCTCTACGGTATAGACCCACGTCTTGTGCTAATATTCCCAGGGCAATCCCCTGCTTCTCGTGGGAAAAAAGGTAAAATGGCTTACTCACATCTGGGAGTCCCAAAGTTGGAGCTGACATCAGGGCCTTCTTCAGTAGCTTGAAAGCTTGTATTGCTTCCTTGTTCCATTGAAGGCATTTCTGTTCAGTAGTTGTGAGTGCATACAGGGGTTTAACAAGCAGTCCGTAATTATAAATCCATAGATGGCACCACCCGGTCATACCCAAAAAGGTCCATAGTTCCTTCACTGTTTGTGGTCTTGGAGTTTGGAATATTGCCTCTTTTTGAGCCTGTCTCAAGGTCCTTTCCCCAGTAGTGATTTCATATCCCAAATAGGTTACCTGTTGTTGTACTACTCAGGCCTTTTTCTTAGATACCCTGTACCCTTGGAGTCTGAGAAAGTCTGGCAGATTCACCGCCCAAGTCAGGCAGGTGTCCCTTGTTCTAGTAGCAGTCAGAATATCATCTACATATTGCAGTAATTTCCCTTCTCCTGGTGGGGCCTCCCAGTATTCAAGATCTTTCGCTAACTGACTTCCAAATATTGTGGGGCTATTCTTGAATCCTTGGGGTAACACCGTCCAGGTGAGTTGGGTCCTACGCCCACTCTTGGGGTTTTCCCATTCAAATGCAAATATTTTCTGGCTGGCTTCATGGAGAGGGAGGCAAAAGAAGGCATCCTTTAAGTCTAAAACTGTAAACCAGGCTAGTTCTGGTGTTAATACAGTTATTTATTGCCTGTAGATCCTGGACCACCCTATATGACCCATCCGGCTTGTGGACAGGTAATATAGGGTTATTAAAATTGGATTCACATTCCCTCAACAATCCTACTTTCAGTTTTATTATTGGTCGAATTCCTTCCCTATCTTCCTGCTTTAGAGCGTACTGCTCGATCCTTACTGGCTGCTTTCCCTCCTTGAGTCGAATCTCAACACGTGGGGCATTTCTAGCTCTCCCAGGTACATCAGTAGCCCATACGCCTGGGTATACCTGGTTTACGACTTCTTCATTAACTCGTCCTTCCATTGGAAGGTTGACTAGGGCTAAACTCATTACCTGTATATATTGTTGATCACTTACCTCCAGAGTAATCTCCCCTTTTTCAAATTTTATTACTGCTCCTAATTGCTCTAATAAATCTCTACCTAAGAGTGCCCATGGGGAGTTAGGCATATATAAAAATCTGTGTATGCCCCATTGTTTCCCTAACTTGTACTTCAAAGGTTGACAAAAATAAGCCTTTTCAGGTTGATCGGTTGCACCTTTTACCCTAACATAATCATTCCCTAAAGGCATTAATGCTTGATTTAGAACCGAATATGTTGCCCCCATATCAATGTTATTTTTGGAGTGGTAATTCGTGTCAAGAAAATGGTTGATATTAATAAAGAAGGGGAAGATTTGGGAGAGTGGCCATGGGGGTTGGAAAGCCCAGTGGTTGAGATAACATTAGACTCTTAACGACGAGGCCATCAGGAATATAAAAGAGTTTAGAGGGAACAAAGAAGGGTGATTCAGGAGACTCCATGCAGTCTCGGGTTTCTTGTTCTCCAGCCATTGAGGCATGGAAGTTTCTGAGTGTTTACTGTTACTGTTATTTGCAAAGTTGTTTGACCAATGAAAAGTTGTTTTGAAAAGAACTGCTGTGGAGAGAAGGGTATAAGAGGGGAACCTGCCCTCAAGATAAAAAAGGAAGGCAATGCGATGTGATGAAGTTATGATCAATAAAGAAGCAGAAAAAAGGAATGAAAAGGAGCAGGCTGGTAGAATGGAGACAAGGACGGGAACAGGCACATTGATTGCTTCAAGAAGATGGGTTTGGCCAAAGTCAGCAAACTGCTCAGAGAAGCTCGTACAGACAGTCGCGAGAAATGGGCGCACTGGAGCTGGAGAGAAGCTCAAGCTGAGAGAAGCGGATCTGTGCACACGACTGCCTCTCGCTCGTCAGCAGTTGCGCATTATGGGGAATCATACGTCCTTAGGAACAAAGACATATGTCAATTGTCAGCGTTACTGCCCTGGTAACCTTAGAGCTTATTCTCCTTATTAACAATCGGACAGTTTATGAGCCTGAAATATGGGACCAAATTGAGGTCAAGGTGTGGGACTGCAACTGAAAATGACAAGGTTACAGTGGGATTGCTCAGCACCTGGCGAGCAGTCTCTGAGGCCTTAAAGAGCACTGTGGGCCCACAGTCAGACACGTGTGGTTTGCCAGATAGTGAGGGAGCTGCGGGCTCCTTTACTGATCCGACTGCTACGCCATCGGCCCCTCTGCTGCTACAGCCATCAAAGGCTTTTGCTGTTACGTCCCCTGTTGACCTGGTCATGCCTTTTGACCCAGGCCTCATTGGCCTTGAAAAGGAGACGGATATGTTCTTCTTCGATATGGGAAGAATGGGATACATAAGGCCTGAAGGTCAAGTTGCTTGACAACTTGGAGAGAGACGTATTGTTCAAAAGCAATGGAAAATGGAGACTTGTTTGTAAACAAGAAAAGGAATGGAAAATGGAGACTGTTAAGTCATGGAACTTAAAGGATTCTTTGTTACCTTTTCTGATTGTATAGACATACTTGGGTTTAGTATGTAAAAATAATGTTCTGTATATTTAGAATGTTCGATGTTTGTGTGTGCATGTTGGTGGAGCGTAGACTCCCTGCACACCCAGCGCTGTTTACTTGCCTTTTATAGCTTTTATACCTTTTATAGCTTTTATACCTTTTATACTTTTTATAAATATTTGTTTTATAAATATTAAAAAATTCAGATTGAGTTGAGACTTCATTTATAACATCAATAAGAAATTTCACTTCCATTCCTCCCCTATCTTCATTATAACCAGTGGAGGAATCCGCTAGGGTAGATTCCCCAGGTCCCCGTTATTCCTACCAAAATCAGGGGCTGATTACCCTAGGAAAAGGCTAGTCAGTTTGTTCTCTGAATCCGAGTGTTCATGTCGCGCGCTAGACATCTCTATGTGGCTTATCGACCTCCCCGGCCAATTGGCTTACCTTAATTAAGGTATACCGTTTGTCCGCAACCACAGGAACTTCCTATATCCCTGCAGTGAGAGGCTGGGAGAGGAGCTCCTCCGAGAGAGAAAAAGGGTATCGGGGCGCGCCTAGGAGGACCGCTCCACAGTCGATCCCGAAGCTGAACAGAGTCCTCCTGCCTGGCTCGCCAAACTCATGCGCAGAAAAGACTCCACAACCATAGGGTTGCGATCCTGGGGTATCATGGCATACCGCTACTTGTGTTCGGGGAGCTGGTCAGAGCACCCACCTCCATTTCTGTTTATGGTGGCTGAGTTTGTTCAAGTAATCCCTTAATCCTTGACTTGATACCTGTCCCCTGCTGGTGGTTCTGCGGAGTCCTGCCTTTAGGCACAAAGACCCAGGACCAGCCCTTCAGAAACCCACACTGGCCACTTCTGATCCCTCCGTTGTCCCGCATGTCAGCTGCAGCGCCTTCCCTGGCCCTGGCTCAGTGCTCATTACAGCAATGGCTGACATCCCAGGAGAAGCCAGCCCGCTCTCTTTGGGCGCTACCTCAATGCATGACTTTGCTCACTTTGGCCCCTCCAGCTCTCTCCCCACTCCCGGTGCAAGGACGGAGTGAGAGAGCAGCTGTGTGGTGCTCAGCTGCCCACTGGGGTTCAGCCACAGCAGTCCTTTTGGGCAGCCAGCGTGGGGCACGAAGGATTTGAGATAACAGCATCACTGGCAATCACCTGATTTTCACCTACGTAGAAGCAAGCAGCTCCAACGCAGCCGTGTACCTACTGCTCCATGGGATGCTTCTATGCAGTCTAACCCCTCATGGTTCTGAACTACCCCTGCTGATAAGGATGTGACCTCCTGTAGCGCTGAGGTGATAGAATCTGCCGGAACATTAGTAATTTGCTCCACTGTAGCGGACGTTTAGTATAGCGTGTTGTGTTAAAGGCTAAGGAAGTTTGGCAGGACCTAAACCCCCTTGCGTTCCAACTTGTCCTCAGATATCAGAGGGGCTGGGGGTGGCTGGGTTTGGATTGTGAGCGATGTCCTGTTTGGAACTATAAATCCGGTTGTATTCAATAGACTAAATTATCGTGATCATGGATGCACATATAGTGTAATACACTTTCAGTCTAGTAAATGACTGGTGTAGTTTATTGGAGCAACACGAGCACAGGTTCTTTTGGATTGCCAGTGATGAAGACCCTGTCTGCAAAGCACGTGCAAATACCAAGAATATGACTAACACAACCAACTACATATACGTTAACTTGTGGAACAACTCTATAGAGGATGTTAGGTTTCCCAGGGAAGCACTCGCTATAACTGAGGGTTCAGATCTCACCCTGTAGGCATCCCTGTAGGGGGGAAGAGAGGTTCAGCACGGCAGCCTTCGGCTGATGCCAGGAGTCAGCGACGTCCTCCCGACTTGTCTGCGGTGGTGTCTTCCCTGACATTTTCCTCTCTTGAGCCCTTTTTTTACTATGTTCCTACTTTTAGGTAGTGAGTGACTCAAGTCATATGCGCCTTTGTTGTGACTGGTATACATTTTCCTGGCTTTTGTTTTTGCTCAGGGAAATTCAGAGCGCGTGCTCAGTGAGAGGTAGTTGCACCTTGGAGGCGGGTAGCCTTGGGGATGGAGGTGTATTTTGGCACTGTAATGAGATTATAATGAGCAAAGTTCATCCAGAGGACGTGAGTAGGTTGTCAGTTAGACTCAGGGCTGGCCATGCAATCTATCAGTTCCGTACCATCAGGCTCACTCTAAAATCGTGCTGTTCCTAGCAAAATGGCCCGAGGCCCAGGAAGGCCGAGGCGGTGGGTTGCTCTAACACGCTGTGGCCAGGGAAGCAAAAGCTTTCCTTCCTCTTGCTTTCACAGCCTAGCAGAGCAGCTTGGTGCCGTGGAGTTTTCTAACCGTTCAGTTTTCACACAAAAAAATGACACGTTCAAGCAGTGAAGAAAGAGGGCTGTTTCTTTGGGGAAAGTCCAGCAGAGGGGTTACTCGGCGGGGCCCGAGGGCTGGAGCTGGGCTCAGCACTGAGCACAGCTGCAGCAGCACAGCCAGCCAGCTCTCGGGACACGGGGCCTCCTCTCCCACACCCTCCGGAGCCGGTAACGTAGTGCTTGCAGGCTGAATGTGGAGGAAGTTCTCGGAACCAGGATGGTTTCAGTCACCAGGGAGGAGACCGAAGGGCTGCTGTAGCCCTCCATGCTTCTCAGGGCTGACATGGAAAGGAACGGAGTGGAGGTCAGAGCCCGTATCAGTGGGAAGCACGCCCAGGAACCCCTCCTGCCAAGGCCACCCCACCTCCTCAGATGGGGCAGGGGTCGCAGCTCACTGCCCAGGGTCTTTTCTCCTCCCAGTCAGTTCCTGCTGATACCCCACTGCCCTCACTCACCCTCGATGATGTTCTTTAGCTTCTCCTCGCGCCCATCCACCAAGTGCTGCCCGGCAAGCCCTGGCTACACACAGCCCATCACAGATCCCGCTGGCCAGCTCGCCCCAGACACAGTCCCCCCCTCAACATCCCTGCCGGCTTGGCCATGTGTGCCCAAGTGTGACAACACCCAAGGAGGCTGCGAGGCACCCGCTAAGCTTCCCACCAGCAACCACTGCGTGGGCAGGGGGTGGGCGAGGGCAGCAGGGAGCCCCCACAGGCACTCCAGGCCCACTCTGAGCAGGCAGTGCTCTGCAGCCATGTGGCTGATTCAGCAGCAGCTGGGGCTGCGGCCAAGCTGCTGTGGGGCACAGAGGGCCCATGGGGTTGTGACTCACCAATGAACCTGATGGCCGCCTCTTGCAGGGGCTCCTGGGGGCTCCACAGGTATGGCAGGCTCTGGCACAGGTAGTCATCCACTCTGCTGCTGTGCCCCACCAGCTGGAAGAGAATAGTACGTGTGGATGGGGCTGGTGCAGCCTCGCCCCTTGGCCAGGCCGGCCCTGTACGTGGGACTGGCTTCCCCTGCTGGGATAGCCTGATGCCCAACCAGCAGCCAGCTGGTGCTGGGGCCAGGCTTTGGAGGGAGCAAGGGGCAGGGTGCTGAGGTGCCACCCCACTGCCAAGGGTCAGCTGTCGGTATGCCTGGGACCTGGGAGAGCGACGAGGCTGTCGAAGAGCCTGTACTGCTATGTGCTGGGGCGTGGGGGTAGGGGTGCGTGTATGGCTGCAGGCTGGGGGCTCTGGCCTGCAGCAGTGGCTAGAGGCAAGGGTAGCCACCCCGCACCCTGGGCCAGGGCTGGCAGGCCTTGTCTGGGCCAGGTTTTGGGAGCCCTCGGGCAGTTGTCCTTACCAGACACTTGCCAATCCTCTGTGGCTGCGCTGTCTCCAGCAGGTTCCTGAGCTGCTTCCACTTCAGGAGCTTGGCAGCACCAAGGAGGGCTTCCCGAGAGGCCTGCAGAGCAGCAGAGAGTGGGAGATGAAACCACTGCGCATGGGACAGGCCCTGGTTGTCCCGCACCTTGGCGAGGCTTGGGGGCTTTCCTGGCCCTTGCTGGGGAGGTGCAGCAGCTGGGGAAGGCATCTGCCAGAGGGTTCAGTGCTCGGGCAGAGGTGTGGGGCAACCACCAGCTTCGGCACTTCATGCTGCTGGGGCTGCAGGACAGAGGTCCCCCAGAGCTGCTTATCTGCAGCCAAGGCCAGCAGGCAGGTGAAGCGCTGCAGTCACTGAGGCACCAGGGCAGGAGGCAGCCAGGGACACCACGCACGGGGACCCCAGCAGGCTGTTCCCTAGGGCCTGGGCTTCAGAGCCCGCCACCGCGGACACAGGGACAGACCCCTGCCCTGGCTGCGGCTTCCTTCCCAGGCTGGTGAGGCTGGCAGCCATGCTGGCTCCTGCAACCCCTGGCAGGGGCTGCACCCTTCTGCGTGGCCCAGAGCAGCCTGCAGGCCAGGGTTTCTGCAGTGAGCACGCTGGCGGCTCCAGGGTGCTCGTGCCCAAGAGAGCAAAGGAGCATTCAGCCTAGGCATCTGGCGGGTCCCTGTGCATAACATGGGGTCGACAACTGTTGGGCACCTCACCACTGGCCTCAGACACCTGCAGGCACACCTGAGATGCCTGTGAAAACTCTAGTGCCTAGGTATCTGTGGCTATGCAGCACTGCTGAGCACAGCTGGGAGCAGGCAGGGCAGGTCTGGAAAATGTCCGTGCCCACCTTCTTGGCCCCTGACAGCTCTGGGGCTGCAGGAAGCCTCCCAGTGGGCTTTTCTGTGGAGGGCTGCATGCGGGGCTGGATGTGGGGCAGGGAGAAGCCCCTCCGCTCTGGCCCTCTGTGCGGGCGGAGGCGTAGTAGGGGCAAAATGGCTGTGGTGGGCCTGGTGCAGGCACAGAGGGGCTCTGCACCTTTCTTTTGGATTCAGGAGCTTCGGCCCTGAGGTGAGGCACATTCAGAGGGAGCCTTGCTAACAGCCCGTGCCCCTAATGCTCAGGCCCTCCTGAGGGGTGTTGCCCCCTCAAGTGACTGCTCAGCTTAGTGTCCCCACCTCAGCCACACGCTGGTTCTGGTCATGCAGGTGGAAGAAGAGGGGGAGGACGGTGCTCTGCACTTGCTTCTCCATCTCCATCTTATGGGTGCCCTCTGCAACCTCCATGGCATACTTGCAGAGAAGGACGGAGAGCTCTCTCATGCAGCTGGATTCCTGGTGAGACAGAACAAGGGACGACCTCAGTCCAGGCTCTTCCGAGCTCACAGTGAGCAAGGGGTCGGTGTGGCAGACAGGGAGACACGCTCCTGGCTCTCACTCTGCAGTGAGCTGTGGCAGGTAGGCCAAGTGTGTGGGCAGTGCAAAATGGCTCAAGACACAGGAAGGGCAAGGCAGTGGGTTGCAGATGGTCCACCCTGGGGCTGGCAAGGGGACACATGGCAAGAGGAGAAGCGGCCATGGGCAGCAAGGGGCCGAGGAGAAGTTGCCATTGTGGAGCACACATCTGCAGGGCTCTGCACAGGGAGGGGCTGCCCCAGCAGGAGAGCCCAAGAAGCACCAAGCAAAACATTTCCAGCACGTGCCCAGGGATCGTGGTGGGCGAAGAATTCGCAGGCCAGTGAGACACGCGGAGAGGGACGCACCACCCCCAGGCCACATTCACGTGCCCCGTGGCCACGCTAGCCAAACCTCCTGCTTGCCCACCAGACTTACGTTTTCAAAGAGGGGCAGGAACCTGTCAGGCAGCTGCAGAGCGATGGGGCCAGCCACTTGCCCATCTGCTAGGCGCAGAGTGTTGCGGAGGACAGTCACGGCCTTCATACTGATGTCGCTGTTGGCATCCTGCACTTGCTGCATGACCTCTGGCAGCAGGTCTTGCAGAGTTACTGCCTACATGAAACACAGCAGTTCTGTTCCAGAAACACCGAAGACCATCCTGGCAGAAGCCCTTTGCTTACAGCAGGCACAGCCCAGAGCAGAGGTCTGTCTCCAGGAGCGTGCTGAGGCCCCTTGAGACAGAAGGCTGCTGCCTTGGGTTGCAGAAGCAGCCACTCGTGTCAGCCTGGCCCCGTGCGGGGGCTCATCTTCCCAACCTCAGCAGGATGACTGCTCTGGGTAGAGTGCTCCTGCAGCTGAGGCAGCCCTGCGCTGGCTGGCCTGGGGCCTGGCATTGACCTCTTTCTGGCACAGCAGGAGGTGCCTCTGAGCGGACACTGGTGCCGCTCTCCTCGTGCTGCACAGTCCAGGCAGGGGCTGCCCAGAAGCGCTCAGGGGCTGATGAAAAAGGCAGTGAGAGCAGTGGAGCCACTACCGCCCCTCCCGATTCTTGGCAAAGTCCAAGCAAGCCTCTGCGGGCAACAGCACCTACAGCCCAGCCCCAGGCAGATGCCGCCACTTGGCCCAGATGCCCCCACGCACCATCTTGGGTCTCGTAGACAGCGTGACGAGGCTTGTAACCGCCATCCTACGCAGCACCGAGGACTGACTGCGCAGGTGTGAACGAAGAAGGTCCAGGATGCAGTCATTGACATGCTGCTCAAAGTCTACGCAGTCCAGCAACTGAAAGACACCCAGCAGCCCAGTGAGAGCCTGGCCCAGCCGGCAGGACTCCTGGCAGCACGCTGAATCTGCCAGAGAGCCCAGAGTTTCAAGGCACCTTGGAGAGGCACCGCTTGCTGCTAGGCCCTACCTCCGTGAAGACAGCCACGGTGGCGATCTCCTTGTGCTTCTGTCTCTGGCAGAGACCTCTGACTGCCTCTTCAAACACCGAGGCACAGCAGAGCGGTGCTTTGCTTCGCAGAGCCCTGGCCAGGGGAAGAACGCATTGGTAGTACCAAGCCGGGCAAACAAACTTCCTTGGGACTGTGCTGTCAGCGCTAGCTGTTATCCCATGGGCCAGACCAGGGCAAGGCTTGCATTTCTGCACTCTGCTTCAGCAGCTGGTGCCATCCGCTTGAGGAGAGGCCGCCCGCCCTTCACCATATACCTTGCCTTTGCAAACATGGAGGGTGACGAGCACAGATGTGCTCGATTCACTGAGAAACGCCCTGCCTACACACAAGTTGTGGCCTTCCAACAGATGCCATTTCCTGACCACTTTGGATCCCCAGGCCACTGAGCCTTCCCGCGCTCTCTGGCCACCCTTCCGGCTCCTCTGCCACACAGCTCCAGTGCAGGCTGTGGCACTGCCTGCAGAGCCAGCCCCAGCACTCTCCTGCACCACTGGTCCCCGAGGAAGGAGTGCATTGGAAGGTGACAGGTCCTGCGAGTCCTCCTCTTGCACTGGGCAACAGCAGCCCTTCACTGTGATAAATTAGTAGGGGTTTGTTCATTGTCCTTGAGAATTTAAAGAATCTACTGAGGAGATAAGGTTTCACAACTCACGGCATTGTAACATGGGGACAAATGGGGAAGGGGGGTTGGGTAAATATCCTTGTTAAAACAAAGATTCTGTAAGATACCACCCATCCACCGCAAGACATCTTGTTTTGCCCCCACCTGAACACAAGCACAACGCGTGATCACCGGAGGAAGAATAACGACCCCCAACAACAGACTGCGCAGCCTCAGAACAAGTCTCGACAAGTCGACAAGGCGACAGGTCTCAACAAGTCGACAGGTCTCGACAAGTCAACAAGTCTCAACAAGCCGGAACTTCAATGCTATAAAACAGCAACACTGGAAAGGGGAAGTTGCGTGCCGTGGTGGAGTGGAGACTCCCCAGCCGCCCAGCGCTGTTTTGCTTGTGTCTGCTTACTTGATTAATAAAATAATTTCAATAGACCAGTAAATTGTGTGGTCTAACTTATAACATTCACCAAGGAGCTCTCAGAGGCAGCAGCATGGAAATCATAGAATGAATCATAGAATGGCTCGGGTTGGAAGGGACCTTAAAGATCAAAGAGGCCACTCCCCCTGCCGGTCTCTCCTGAGATCCCTCAGTCACCAGCACTGAGGGTCAACGCTGTCCCTCGGACCCCTGGGGACACCTCACCAGCCACGACGAAGGGGATCACGTGGGGCCCTCCACCTCTGGGGGAAGAGTGCCAGGGGAGACAAGGACAACTGATGAGGCGCTCACCTAGTCAGCACAGCAACACCTGTGTGGAAGGTCTCATGTCTTAAAAGCGTGTCCCAGCCACCCTGCGTCTGGATGTCTTCAACCAAAGTGGCACCCCCCAGGTGTTGGAAAAGAGCTCTCATGGTCATCACCGCAGTCCTGCATGCAGAGCACAATGCGCGTCACACGTGGCACCCCGGCCCTGGCTCCGGCCTGGGGCACAGACCTGGCAGAGGGGATGGAGCACCTGAGAAAGCTGCCTGGAGGCCACATGCACTCCCCCATCTGACTGCTGCTCCTGCTGAAGTCCTGCAGTGTGCACTCATGGATGAAGGAGATCTGGAAGAGCATGGCAATGTAGAGCTTGTGGAAAAGTGACTGCGCAATGTTTTTGCTGGAGGGCAGCTGGAAGATCATGTTCATGGCACTGGTTACCTGCAGAAAACAGTCAGGTGCAGCTCTCAGTGCACGGATGTCCCTGCAGCACTGCCAGAGCTTGCGGGTTGGGGGGTGAGGGAGGTGGGGGTGAGGCATCGCTCTGAGCTGACAGAGGCACCGGGCCAGAGCCCGCTGCCTGGCTGCCTGGCCTGGGGCCCAGCCCCAGTGGCTCCCTGGGTTCGGCTCTGCTTTGTGGCATGGGCAAGCCAGCTTTTCGTGTCCAGAGCAAAGGGCCCAGCAGGCCCCGGGGGTCTTGCCAGCTGTCCTCAGCTCCCTGGGCCAAACCTTGCAGCCTGCTTGGGCCAGGCAGCCGCCCTGCCCGGGGCTGCCCAGCAAGGCAGGAGCAGGCGGGGAGGGAGGAGGACAGAGAGCGGCAGGGCAGGGGTGGGCTGCGTGCCTGTGCGCAGTGGGGCCCCAGCAGTGCATGTGGCCCTGCTGGGCTCTGGCTCCCAGCCCCCCTGACTGGGGAGCCCCGGGGGAGGCTGTCATTCGGGGACAGAGGAAGAGGAGAGGAGGGGATGGGGAGGGGAGTGCAGCCCCACTGGGGGTGAGCGAGGCCTGGTCCAGGAACTCACAGCCCAGGAACGGACACAGCTGTGGTGTGGGCCAAAGCCATCGTGCTCAGGCCCTGTGCGTTGCTGTCCTGGTTTCAGTTAGAACAGAATTAATTTTCTTCCTAGTAGCTGGTGGAATGCTGTGTTTTGGCTTAGGATGAGAAGAGTGCTGATAACACCCCGATGTTTTAATTGTTGCAGAGCAGTGCTTATACCAAGCCAAGGACATCTCAGCCTTTTGCTCTGTCCTGCCAGCAGGCAGGCTGGGGGTGCAGTAAGAGCTGGGAGGGGACAGACCCAGGACAGGTGACCCAAACTAGCCAAAGGGGTATTCCATCCCATCTGACGTCATGCTAAACAATATATAGGGGTGGCTAGCCGGGGGGAGGGGGCCGGACTGCTCGGGGTTAGGCTGGGCATCGGTCAGCGGGTGGTGAGCAATTGCATTGTGCATCACATGTTTGTACATATTATTAGTAGTAGTACTATCATCATCATTGTACTACTATTATTATTATTATTGTTATTATTATTTTCCTGTCTTATTAAACTGTCTTTATCTCAACTCACGGGCTTCACTTTCCATTTCTCTCCCCCGTCCCAGAGAGGGGAGGGGGGAGGGTGAGCGAACGGCTGCGTGGTGTTTAGCTGCCAGCCGGGTTAAACCACGACAGTTGCATCAGCAGGTTTCTCAGCACGCCCTTTGCAACGCGGGGCTCGGAGATCATCATCTGCCACATGGCCGTGGCAACCCTGCAGAGACAAAGCGTGATGTCGATGGGGCCACCCCAGCCACTGCCCCTTGGCCTGTGCCAGCCCTGAGGGTCCTGAGCTGTGCCAGAGGTGGGTGGGTGGGCCCTGTACCTATCGCACCACGGGAAGACCTCCAGCAGGCCCTGGGCCGCGTGCCCAGGGTGCAAGGAGGTGATCTGGGAAAGGGTCCTCTTCAGGATGTCCAGGAGTGATTCCTTGCTGACCGACGCCAGGCGGTCATGGATGATCTGCATGACCTGTGGCACCTGGAGGAGAGACGAGGGAGAATGGAGCAGAGCACAGCCATGGCCCCAGCTGCCACCAGCAAATGCTTCCCACCTGTGGCTCTTTGCCAGCCCGAATGGCTGTCGGGGACTCCCAAGCCCTGGACCTGGGCCAAGGGGAACTGCCCCCGAGAGGGTAAAAGCACAGGGCAATCTGTCTGCAAACTGCTAACCTCCTCCATCTGTGAGTCTGTGATCATATCCAACACGCGGGCAACCATCTTTGTGTCAGAGACCCTGGGGTGTGTCATGCCCTCCAAGATGGTGAGGATGAAGTCCGTCCTCTCGATGGGGAAGAGGAAGCTGCCAAATACCTGCGAGAGGGAAGACATGTCACACAGCCTGCCTTGGTGGCGGGCTGCAGCTGAGCAGCGAGGGCAGCTCTGGAGAGAGAGCCAGGGCAGTGCTGGCACTGTGCCCCCAGCACAGGCAGGAGCACGAGCTGGCGTGGGCTTGCAAGGGCCGGCCTGGGCTGGGGTGACTGTAGCCTCAGTGGCTGTGGAGAGGGAACTGCCCCGCAGGGTGAAGGCAGGTGGTGGAGGTCAGGGTTAGGGTACACTTGGCGGTGTGTAGGCAGCCAGGCCTTGTGGGTGGCCAGGACAGCTGGACCCGCAGTGCTGACGCTGGCCACTGACACTAGCCTTTGGCTGCTCCCTGCTGAGATATGGTGGGACCCTGCAGCCGGCTTGCTGGGAGGCCGTGACGGACCCTGCCTCCTGCCCGCAGTTCTTGGGGCACTGGTTCATCCAGGTCTCCTGTCAACCTCACAGCCAAGAATCCCAGGAAGAGAGGGGCTCATTACCGTCAGCTTGTTAGCAGCGTCCTTGGGCAGGAAGGTGCTTGGGCATTCCCGCTCCAGCCTGAGCTTCGGATAGGTAGGTGTCATCATGTGGCCTGGGCAGCAAGGCAAACAGAGGGTGGGTGAGTGGTAGGAATGATGGAGAAGCTGCTGCTTGGAGAAGACAGCTGAGAACACCAAGCAGAGCTCTGATTGTGGCAGGGCGCTGTGTCTGTCAAAAAGGGGCACTCTGTGTTGGGTGGAGGGTAAGGGGTGGGCACAGGAGACATGCCAGGGAGGAAATGGGTCTTCTGTTGCAAGGGGGAGGAGGGCAAACCGCCTCGCAGTCTGCAGAAAGGCCAGAGAGTTTGGTCCGGCTTTCTGCTCTGAAGCAGGAGAGAAGCCCCACGATGCTGCTACTGCTACAGGCTCTCCAGTCCACTGGTTCTCAGGAGTGCTACTAAGCCACTGCCCCAGGGGACATCCTGCTGCTCCAATAGGGGCTGGGGGAGCCCCCTAGGGTTGGTGCAGCACGGCTGCTCCCCTGCTCCACCCTTGGAGGAATGTGCTGCTCTTTCCTCTAGCTGGGGAGGGCGGACAAAGCGGCGTATCACCATGCCTGGTCTTGACTGGGCCCTTGTGTCTGGAAGGTGCTAGCCCACCCCAGCCTCTCTTACACTGTCGCACCATCACGATCCTGTGAATGGCGTAAAGAGCCTCTGCAGACCCACAGCTGATGTTCTTGTCCTCCTCGGCACAGCACAGGGTGAGGCACCCCATCAGCTGCCCCAGGAGTGGCACAGGCTTCGTCTGGAAGGTGCAAACGTTGACTGTGCCCACTCTGTTTCTGAACGAGTCCTGGGGTTGAGAGGATGGACAGTGGCAGCTTGGCTGCGCTAGTGCACTTGAGACACCAGGAAGGGGTGAGGGAGTGCTTAGAGGTTGCCTGAACCACCAGCTCCTTATTTGCATCAGAGAAGTGGGGATCAGGGCCTCGCTCAGACTGGCAATCCTCCCCACGGCATACCGACGCTTTGCCGCTTTCTCGGATCTTGTGTAGGGCAGCAGGGCCTGAGAAGAGAAAAGCTGCTGGTTTGCCTTGGGATGCAGTGGCAGCTCCCGTAGCGGCATCTCTGCCAAGTGCCGGGCAGGGTTTACGCAGCGTGCCCAGGCTTCTCCTGAACAAGAGAAGAGCCTGGAAAGAGGGTATGCCCCGTCGCGGCCTTGGGGACAGACCTGCAAGATAATCTCCAGCGTAGTGGCAGTGTAGTCCGACGAAGTACACACCAGCACTTCCAGCACGCTGTCCAGAGATTTCAGAATCTGTAAGGA